TGGTCGGGTCCCCTCAGTGCAAATCCCCTTCCAAGACTAAGACTCAATGGGAATACACACTGTGATTGGTGACCACACTCAACACCGATAAGGGGAAGTGAGGGAAAAACAGCAATGAAGCGGTGAGCTAAGCTGCACAGCACTTTTAACTCCTGGGTGAAAAACAAGTTAACAAAACTATAGGCAAGCTTAGCAGCTTCAAGTTAGGGTTCTTTTCTTTTCTTTCTTTCTTTTTTTTAAGACTCACAGGTATGAGAAAACCCTTGAAATCAAAGTAAAATGTTTGTTCTAAAGTTTATTTCACAAAGATTGAGTACTTGATTATTCACAGGATATGTTCCTATTGTTTTAAGTGTCATTGAGTCGATTCCAACTCATAGCAACCTTGTGTAGGGTTTCCAAGCCTGTAAATCATTGCTGGAGCAGCAAACGTCATCTTTCTCACATGGAATGGTTGGTAGCCTCAGAATAGCAGCCTTGTGGTTTGCAGGCCAGTGTTTAATGTACTGAGCCACCATGTACACATGTTGCTGGTAATAGCCTTGTAAAAAATTTCATATATGGCCCTCCCCCACTGATGCTTTTCAAATTCCTTAGGTGCACTTTCAAGCCCCCCATTCCCAAATGGTTTCCTTATCTCTGAATTTGTATTCAAATACTGTATTCATTTATGGAGCTAGTAAGGCGCTGGACCTCTCACATGTTTCTTAAGAGCAAGTATTGGTGGTTTGAACCCACCCAGAGGTGCCTTGGAAGACAGGTCTGGTGATCTGCTTACGAAAGGTTCACAGCTTTGAAAACTACAGAGCACAGTTATATGTGACATCCCAAGAGTTGGATTGACTCAATAGCAAAGTCAACCAAAGAAAGAATGATTGGAAAAGGCCATTGAGATGGCAGAATAAAGAATACTTTGAGCCTTTGGAGCTCCACTTTCCTTTCTACACCCAGGGTCACTACATTTGGTGTCCTGATGTGGTGCTGTGCAAACCTCTAGGTCAACAGTTCAAACCCACTAGCCGCTTCTTGGAAACCCTGAGTTAGAAGTGACTAGAAAGCACTTAACAGCAACAACATAGATACTTAATAGTCACCTCCCTCTGGGAAGAGCCTGGGTGGCCATTGTCAGTGGTCACACTTTCTGTCAGAGGGTGTACTCCACTCTAGACAGAACCCTTACTGGTTCTAGTAGCCTTATTTTTATGAACTTTATTGACTTTTATTGGTTTTTGAAAACAAAATGTTTAAGAATTTTATCAAAACTCTTTAAGGTTTTTAGTGAAATTTGTAAACATCTGTCAGAAATAGCTCCCTGGGCACTCACTGTTCCCACTAGACCATCACAGCATGCCTGACTTTGGAAGGTTGGATATACAGTGCTTCCTGCTCAGGATCCGTCCCTGTATGTATGCAGTCATCTAAACTAGCATTGATGTTGGTGTATCACAGCAGTGCAGAAGTTTGATGCCTTCTCTTCTTATCTGCCTTCACTAGTGTGCAGTACATAGGAAATAGAGTGTTTATTAGAAAAGTCAGCTGTTTTGTTGAGAATCAAGGTTTAAATACAAATTTTTCATCAGAGAAGAAAAATACATATTTGTTTATAGATCAGATAGTCTTACTCATTCTTTCTAGTGGATGTTCCTGTTTGTATGTTCATTTCAGCAAATGAAATAATTTAGAAAAATACAAAGGAAAAGTTGATCATTTTACCTCCCAGCCACTACAGCTTGGTGTATATCTTTTTACATATATATGACATATGTAGGAAGGAACCCTGGTATGGCACTATTGGATAAAGCACTGGACCTCAAGGTCACTTTGAGCCACATGATCAGCGGTTCAAATTCACCTTGGAAACCCTGTATAGACAGGGTTGCTCTGAGTTAGAAACCACTTGACCACTTAACAACACCATGACATGTGTAAATATAGTATGTAGGTTTCCCCTTCCCTCTTTAATAACCATACTTTTTATATTAGTCTGCAAAATACTTTTTCTAGTTATTATATAATAGATATTCCTCAGGGTGTTTATAGTAATTAATTGTAATAATATGGTAGTTGTATACCATGATACAATGCAACTGTTCCATACTTTAAACACTCACATATTTGGACATTCAGAATGTTCCATGTGTGTGTACCATTATAACAGTGCTGTCATAAATACTCTTCTCCATAAATGCTGTTGGCTGTTTTCATATATTTCTCTGGCTCACTTTTCCAAGTGGAGCTGCAGTCTGCGTTTGGTTCTAAAAGTGGTGTTTTGTTTGTAGGTCAACGTGCGCAATGGAATGAGCTTGCATGACTGCCTTATGAAAGCCCTCAAGGTGAGGGGCTTACAACCAGAGTGCTGTGCAGTATTCCGACTTCTCCACGAACACAAAGGGTGAGAATTCAAAGGCAGTCACCACCTCCTTTATGTTAGGAAGGAGGAAGGGTGCTTCCAAGCTTAAAATAATAACTTTTCTTTTTAATGGTATGACTCCCTATAGACTACTATATATTTGTATTTTATGTAATCTTCTTTATAAAAAGACAATTCAGAAAAATAAGACACTAATATATACATGGTAGATGTTGATAGTGTTTCTATTCATGGAAACAATGCCAGGTAGTGTGTTAGATAGTATGTTTCTTGAAAGAAAATTTTTTTCTTTGTATTTGCTGTAAAGCATTGTGCAGAGTGGTGGTGGTGGTGGTGATGTGCCGTGGAGTCAGTTCCAACTCATAGCGACCCTGTACAGGGTTTTCGAGGCTATAAACTTTATGAAAGCAGAAAGCCTCATTTTTCTGCTGCATTAGAACCACTGGTATTTTTGAACTGCTGGTTTTAAGGTTCGTAGCCTGACACATAAACCAGTATGCTACCAGAGCGCCTGTTGTGCAGAGTAGATATTCAGAAAGTGTTATTTTTTATAAAAACTAAAGAATCCTATTCTCAGGATATTTTATGATCTTATATTCAATCATTCATTTTTAATCAGCATAATGTCTACTGATTTCCTATTGTTTGACAGAGTTACCAATGCTGGAAAATTTCTACTTCAGGGAAGCTCCGTAGTTAACCTTGTTTCTGATGGTGAAGACAAGATAGAGATGTCTCCTCAGAGGCTTGGAGTAATACCCCAAAGCCACAGAGCTGTCTATAATTATTCATTATTATCCCCTTAAAATATGATGAAACCTTTTAGAAGGTTTTTTGATCTTCTTGGAAAATAGCACTTCCACTACTGACACTCACCGTAAATCTTTCACAATTCTAAGAGGTCTCCAATTTGAGAGAATAACTCAGAATCAGTCAACTCAAAGGGGTGAGCATAAATGTGTCTGTTCTTCTCAGTTTAAGATTCCACATTCCAGTCTGTAGTGCTTCTTAAGGACTAGAGAGATCCTGGACAGAGAGGACCTTGGTCTACTATAGTCCAACGGTTGCATTGGTTGGGGTGACCCTGGATTCTCCAGGACAGAAGGTTCCTAAACATAGATGAGGAAGCCTCCCCCTTCTGAGTGTTAGCATTAAATTAGGACTTTAGAGCAATGTGGAGATTCCACGACCTCTTACAAGGAATTATGCTAAGTGATGGATTATTTGCTATTGTTGTTGTTATGTGCTTGAGTTGGTTCTGACCCATAGTGACCCTCTATAGGATTTCCAAGGAGCCACTAGTGAGCTTGAACTGCTGACCTTGCAGTTCAAACGGCTTTGCAGTCTGACACACTAACCCACAGCGCCACACCAGGACTCACCAGGACACACTTGTGAGCTCTGGTAGTGTACTGGTTACGAATCGGGCTACGAACCTCAAGGTCAGCAGTTTGAAACTACCAGCTGTTCCACCGGAGAAAGATGCGGCGTTCTGCTCCCATAAAGATTTATAGCCTCGAAAACCCTGTATAGGGTCACTATGGGTCGGACCCGACTCCACGGCACATAGCCACCACCACCCTTGTGAATAGGAATCAGACAAGGATATTTGCTATTGGACAATCAGAAAACACAGCAGAGCTGGAATAGGCTTCTGGTAGGTGGTGATGGGAGATGTTTAATTGATGCCCTGTATGAAGAATAGTGAATATATTGTGGACTGCCAGAAGAACGAATACACCTGTCTTAGACGAAATACTGCTAGAATGCTCCTTAGAAGTGAGGAGGGAAAAACTTAGTCTGTTTACTTTGGGCATGTTATCGGGCAGAAAACAACATCATGTTTGATAAAAGTAGAGGGTCAGTGAAAAAAAAGGAAGACCCTCAACAAGAGAGATTAATACAGTGGGCAGGTTTCAAATTTAGTAACAATTGTTGAGGATGATACAGGATTGAGCGTTGTTTTGTTTTATTGTATATAAGGTCACTATGAATTGGAACCAACTTGACATCACATAACAACATGTGTATGTTATTCTCTCCTGATCTTTCCTTCAGGAACTGGGCCAGTTTACCTGGAGAAGACATGAGAAAGGAGCTGGGTGTTAAGTTTTACCTGTCTGTAATGTCTGCTTCAGGCACAGAGAGAGTTCAGTTCACACAGTAAATTTTAAGACAATTTTGGAAATAGTTTAATTAGTTTGCATATGCCCATCAATTAACTATTTACAGACCCTCAAACAACTCTACAGATTTGGGCCATAATTCAGTATTTTATATATTTAGTTTATCATGAGACTGATAGATCACTGTTTTGCTTATTTTTTTTAAAGTTTGGATTAAGCATAAGCTTTGAATTCTAATAGGCCTGACGTCAGTCATAGACTTGACACTCACCGTGTGGCTTTGAATAAGTTATGTTCTGAAGAGTCCCGGTTGTCTTATTATTAATACTTATATCATCATAGTTTTGTTGTATGGATTAAATAGTATATATCTATATGTATATATACTCTGCACTTTGTATATAAGGATATAACAAATGATAACCATTCTTACTGGTATTGAACTCTTAAAACCTTGTTTAAGTATTTCCCTTTCTTATTATGATTTAAATTTTTTATTTTAGTAAAAAAGCACGGTTAGATTGGAATACTGATGCTGCATCTTTGATTGGAGAAGAACTTCAAGTAGATTTCTTGGATCATGTTCCCCTGACAACACATAACTTTGTAAGTTGCTCATCTGTTCCCTTTTTTTGTTTGTTTGCATATTGGGTACTCTGATTGGCATAATAGGAATTTGCCATATTTGTTTAAAGCTCTAGTTATGGTTTATACATACAAGACAACTTAGGCTTAATTAGAGTTATACGGTAATTCCCAGTTACACATTTTCTAAATGCTGAATGTATGATTCTTCATTCATGAAAAAACATGTTTGATGGCCAAGGAGGGAATTATTTTGTCTTTATTATCTTTCATTTATTCAACATGATTTGCACCTGTGTTCTTATTGTTCTAGGCTCGGAAGACGTTCCTGAAACTTGCCTTTTGTGACATCTGTCAGAAGTTTCTGCTAAATGGGTTTCGCTGTCAGACTTGTGGCTACAAATTTCATGAGCACTGTAGCACCAAAGTCCCTACGATGTGTGTGGACTGGAGCAATATCAGGCAGCTCTTGTGAGGCATCGTTCTTTTTGTCAGAGAATGTGGAGGGAGTGATTAAGTGTAGCCATTCTGGGGGAGATAGTCTGCTTCTATAAAGATTTATAGCCTTGGGAAACCGACAGGGCACTTCTACTTTGGCCTATAGTGTTGCTATGAGTTGGGTTTTTTTTGTTTTGTTTTTTTAATTTAAGGTTTTTATTGTGGATTGAGTGAAAGTTTACAGGGCACATCATCAGTTTCACATTCAACAATTCATATAACTTGTTTCATTAC